CCCGGACAGCCATTTGCCCGACAGCCCCCTGCCCAGCTCCGCCAGCCGCGCCAGCCGCCATGACCTGCTGCTCTTGGAGAAGAAGGTGACGGCCTCCACTCCCCCTCATCCCTCCAGGCCCCGCCGGTGCTGCCCCCCGGGACAGGGTTCATGGCCCCCTCTGGCACAAGGGGAGCGTTCCTTCTGCATTTGGCTGCTGGTAGACGTGTCTTGGAAAAGCGGAGGGAGATCCCCCTCCTCTGAAGAGGTTGGCAGTGAGAACCACAGGTGACACAAGGCTGGAGGAACGTCTTGTGCAAACACTCACGTCTCAGTTCCTTAGAGTCCTTAATCCATCGCTTAAGCTCTCATCCCTTAGGTCTTCAGCCTGATGGGTCAGGATACGGGTGCCAAGGCTCTCTCCAGGAGAGTGGGAAGCAAATGGTCGGGGGGGAGGGCAGCTATTGGTTCTTGGGCCACCTTTGATGTGAATGGTTGCATCTCCATCCTGACCTGAGGACACAGTTGCCATATCCCATCTGCAAGTCAATTGTGTTTTGGAACGATAAGCTACAGGCATCGTCGGCCACAGACTTAACCTGGACTTAGATGTCATTCCTATGATATTTAGGGAGACCAAGGGTAAATTATTAGAAATGGGTGAAGTGCTGACATGTGACCTCCCAGCAGTGGGGACTAGGCAAAGGTTTTGCAACATTTAGCAGCCCAATCCCCCCTTTAGTGCTTCTCACTTTGAGTCCAGCAGTAACGGGTTCATTAGCAATAGCAGGTGAGATAGTCTCTCCTGCGGGAATGCACGGGATGCCGGGTTGAGTCTATAAACTCAGAATTGGGATTTAGGGTGGCATTAGACATACCTGGACCTTCATGCACGGGGTAGTTCCCTTCAGCTCGCCTCTCTGCTCCTGGGCAGCCAGGCTTTTTGTCCTTAGTACCCAGCCAGCACTACCTGAATCCTCTTACCTCACCTTACGGCACATATCCCAAGGAACTCTGCCATCTCGCTTTGGTCAGAAACCCCAGGCACCATGATTTCAGCAATTTTTCAGTTTAAATCAAAGTTTTATAACGTGGGGCTGCAAAGTCCGCTCTCTTGACTGTTTCTGGCAGAACTGTAGGGTCCTGCCCAGGGTCTGGCTCTGCGTGTGAGTGAGACTGCTTAGGCAATAAACTGTGCAGCCCTGTAGCAGTCATTAGTGAGAACAGGGAAAAAAGCTTACCCGGCTTCACCTCTCAGGTGAGGTTTGCTCAAATAAGAAAGTCTAATACAGAAATTAATGTCTGATGGTTTTGATTCCCAGTGTCTCTTGCTAAAATCTGTACTTGGGACATGAACTAGTGACGTTAACAGGTCCCGACTGAAGGTTTCTTTCTGCTGTCATGGGGATGACAGCCTCGTGAGGCAGAGCTGTGGCATCTTTTCCTCGGTATGGCGTTCCCTAATCCCTTAACTCAGTGGACTGACGGTAACCTCTAGGTAGCTGTGTGCTGAGGAGAGCCTCATGGCCTGCAAACATTTATGATGTGCGGGTTTCAAGACCTCAGGGCAGTGCAGCCGCTGTGAGTGAATTAGCTCTAGGCTACAACCAAGCCCCAAGCAGTGTTGTGACGCCTGGTTTGGTCCTGCAGCACGGGTGTGCCCTGGGTTTGTGCCATGCACAGGGACAGGTTTCTGTTTACAGTCAAGAGACCCAGGGGGATGCAAGCCCCTTACGGCTGGAGAGACTGCATGCCTGCAAGCACGGAAGCCCGTGCCAGACCTGTGGTGCGTGGGTGACACGAAGGTCATCAGCTTGCCCAGTAAATTCCTGTCGAGAGCCCACTCAAACCAGATGACCACATTGTCATCGGCTGGGTTTATAATGTGGGCTTTTTGTTACCGGTGTGATGGATTGGGTCTGAGATGCAAGAATGCAAGAGAGCGTGACTACTGTCCTCCAGACCTGCTTCTTACAGTAGTGTAAAATGAATTATAGTCAAGAAGGCAGGATGATTTGTAATCTTTTTCAGACCAACGTCTAGAGTGATACTTACGAATTTTGGAGCTTCTTTGCTTGGAGGTCACCTTGACCATAGTGAAGGATGTGTCAGGGTGTCTCTCTTCCAGAAGACAAGGATCACTTTGGAATTCTTTATTTTGTGGTTAGGATAGTGGCTATAAGGTCTTACGTTTGCTTTCGTAAAGGTAAAACACTTTGAAGAGGCCAAAAAGAAGACTGAACGTTTCCACAAACATTTAAAGCAGCAGTTTTTGAAAGAACAGGAGAGAAAGATGGCGCGGTGGAAGAAGGCATCCGAAAGGTTTGAAAAATCACTGGAAGTGTTCAGTCGCAGAAGTGGGAAGTCGTCCGTCCCTTCCACCAACGGTTTGTCTGTGAGTGAAGTGACGCCCTTGGAACACGCAGCTGCTACTGACGGAGAAGGGACCAAGAGACACGTCTAGAGAGCTCCTCCTGCAGGCTGTCCCAGGGCTCCGGCCCATGTCTTGCCAACCTACTCGAATTTTGAGTTTGTCCTTTTAGGAAGCTAATGCTAAGTCCTGTTACAGCAATAAACCAGCACGATCCATCACTCTCTCTTGTACTGCTGCCCATTTACCTTCTGAATCGATGGGGCTGCTGTGGTTAGAGGCCCATGGGCTGGGGACAATTCAGGGAGCAGTGTGGCAGCCGCAGGAGTAAAACACCTCTTCAAAGGACTGGTTTCCTTTGAGGGAATAGAAAAGTGATGTGAAAGGGATAGAGTTTTTTCTTGGCTTGTGCCTTTAGAGAGGATCCAAACAACATGTTGCACTAGTTGGATTTCCAGAAATGTTATCAGAGGTTCAGGGAGGGTAAATGAATCCGTCGTTGGGGAAAAAGAAGGACTGGTGACTTAGGAAGCTTAGGAGAAAAAAAACAAGGAATGAAGTATTGAAGGAGAGTGCCTCGAGGCACTGAAGAAGTGGATAAGTGTCAGCAGCAGATGGAGAAGGTGGTTGTAGGCAAGTAGAACTGATCAACTTTCTTCTTCCCTTTTCCCAAACCAGAGACATTCAGAGTAACTGTTGAGTCCCCCCCAGTCGGATGGGATACAGCTTATCGCGGGAGTGCAGGGCTGGAGAGATTGACTTCATCCACTCTGGCCTCTGCGGTGCTGTAGCATTAAGTATACTTTGACTATGATTGACAAATGTTCATCTAACTTGCTTTTAAAAAACTCGCAGTAAAGGAGATGCTACAGTTTCTCGAGGTGGCCTGGTTTTTCAGCCAGCATTGTAATGTTGGGATTTTCATAACATAAACCTTTTTTGCTTGAAATGAAGCTAATAATTTTTTATGTTTCCCAGTGGCCTTGAGGGAATAATTGGATGTTGGAAGATCGCTGTCATGTCCTCACTCAGTTTTTTCTTCACTGGATTAAAAATGCTCAGTACCTTCAAGCTGTCCCCCTCAGTTGGGATTTCTAAAGAGAATTTTCAGGACTAATGCGAAAGGCGTACCTCAGACATCAGGACAGCGTGCCTGGCAAGTAACACTCCAGTGCTCAAAAATCTGGAGGCATCAGGCCTTGATGATGAAACACTGCTTCTCGGTTTACTGTAAGACTATTTCTTGAAAGAAACAACAAACTTTTCCCTAACCTCTGGCTCTTGAAAACAGTAAATAATTCAGTTTCTTCTTCCCTAGAGCTTTTCCAATAATTCAGCCAGACGCAGACACCTGGTAACGTTACACACAATGATGACTAAAAATCTTAGACTGGAAGGTGCCTGGCAAGCCGGACTTTAGGGGCAGTGCTTTCCATCTCTGGGACGTCTCTGCAATAATAGGCCGGCCACCTGCTATGGCCTTGCCTTACGAGGGATTGCAGCTAGCTAAAGGCATCCTCTCAAACTTTCTCCAGAGGATGCTTCATAGGCATGATTCAGGTGCTGAAAGGGTCTAGAAACACTGAACAGAAAATCAGTGTTTGGCACCTGAATTGGCTTCAAACCACAGATCTATAAAGTCTTGTTTTTCCTGAATATTTAAGGCATCTTCTTGTTGTCTTTTCTTCTTACACCTATGATAAATCTGCCCTGCATACTGTCCTCTCCATGGACAGATCCTTCCTTCTCTGTGGTGAACGGAGTTAAATCCAGTTGGCGGCTGGTCACGAGCGGTGTTCCCCAGGGCTCAGTATTGGGGCCAGTTCTGTTCAAGATCTTTATCAATGATCTGGACGAGGGGATCGAGTGCACCCTCAGTCAGTTTGCAGACGACACCAAGTTGGGCGGCAGTGTTGATCTGCTCGAGGGTAGGAAGGCTCTGCAGAGGGACCTGGACAGGCTGGATCGATGGGCCGAGGCCAACTGTATGAGATTCAACAAGGCCAAGTGCCGGGTCCTGCACTTCGGCCACAACAACCCCATGCAGCGCTACAGGCTTGGGGAGGAGTGGCTGGAAAGCTGCCTGGCGGAAAAGGACCTGGGGGTGTTGGTCGACAGCCGGCTGAACATGAGCCGGCAGTGTGCCCCGGCGGCCAAGAAGGCCAATGGCATCCTGGCCTGTATCAGAAATAGTGTGGCCAGCAGGAGCAGGGAAGTGATCGTGTCCCTGTACTCGGCACTGGTGAGGCCGCACCTCGAATACTGTGTTCAGTTTTGGGTCCCTCACTACAAGAAGGACGTTGAGGTGTTGGAGCGTGTCCAGAGAAGGGCAATGAGGCTGGTGAGGGGTCTGGAGAACAAGTCTTATGAGGAGCGGCTGAGGGAACTGGGGTTGTTTAGCCTGGAGAAAAGGAGGCTGAGGGGAGACCTCATCGCTCTCTACAACCACCTGAAAGGAGGTCATAGCAAGGTGGGTGTCCATGTCTTCTCCCAAGTAACAAGTGATAGGACGAGAGGAAACGGCCTCAAGTTGTGCCAGGGGAGGTTTAGATTGGATATTAGGAAAAATTTCTTCACCGAAAGGGTTGTCAAGCATTGGACCAGGCTGCCCAGGGAAGTGGTGGAGTCACCATCACTGGAGGTATTTAGAAGACTTGTAGATGTAGGGACATGGTTTAGTGGTGGACTTGGCAGTGCTAGGTTAATGGTTGGACTTGATGATCTTAAAGGTCTTTTCCAGCCTAAATGATTCTATGATTCTATTCTATGATTCTTGACCTCACTCATGGACAGCCTGCCTCCACCATGCTGCCACCCAGATCCTGCACCAGCCCTTAGTGATGACATCCAGCTGGAAAAAGAAATTACCAGCACAATTAACTGCCTAGCAGCCCTGCATCTGCAGCCTTTGCCTGCTGTTTGTCCAGGAGAATGTGGATATGTTGTTCACCATGACAGCTGCTGAACAGGGCAGACATGAAACATCTTTGGTCATGCTGGCACCAGTGACAGACTGGTGTCTACCTACATCCGTTGGCTTGAGTAGCACTGAAACGCAAGAAGAGGTGCGTTGAGGTGAAAAGCAAGGAAACGCCAACAAGCAAATAATGCCATAAATTTTTAGAGAGGAGCCTGGAGGTTGTCTCCCAGGGGTGACCTGTGCTGGCCACCCCCAGGGTTTTCCTTGTGGGAAGATGCTGCCGGAAGAGGATTTAAAACCTCGTGAGAGCTTCTGGATTTGGTCCAGACATTCACGTGTTACTACGCAACACTTCAGCTATTGTTTGAATACTGCCTGGAGCTCCTGGCTGTGAAATGTGCCATCCAGCCAAAAGCACACCCAGGCTCCTGCAGCCCATCTATTCCAGCTCTCAGCAGTCTGGGCTGCAGCAGACCTGCCCCCCATGGCCTTTGGACTCTCCTGCACGTGTCTGGCCTCTGCAGCGCCCCGGGGCAGCGAGTCTCAGCGTTTAATAACACAGTGTGAAGAAACAGTCTCTTTAGTTTGTTTTAAACATACTATAAGGGCAAATTCACTGTTCACCCCCAGTTTTTGTGTTATGAGAAGCAGTGAATTGCCTCCCCATTTTGTGATTTCAGAGTCCTCAGTTTTGTCCCTGCTCCATCAACCTCCTCTCCGATGTCAGGCGGTTTCAGCTTGGCTGTGCTGTGCAGCCAGCCCAGGAGCAGTTCATCCCCGTTGCTACAGTAACAGCTGCATCCATCCATCTCCTAAACAGCATCCACCCTGTGCGTGGGGGTCCCCAGGTGGTGCCTGGCACCTTGTGAGGAGAGGGGGATGTCCCTCCCCTCTTGCCATGGAAGCAGAGGGGCTGTGGTGCTCTGTCTAACAGTGCTCCTCTGTGCGGAGGTTACAGGGCCAGGGCTCAGCCCTCTGAGCAACCTCCCCGTCCTCCCCATGCTGGGAGAGGCCAGTCACCAGTCATCGTTTCTCCAGTCCACTGGCTCAGTGCTGTCCTTGATCCCACCATCCCCACGGCAGGAGTCAGCCCTTGCACGCGGCAGCCATCCCCAGCGTGAAGAACATCAGGCATGGGGCGATGCCTTCCCCCCTTTGCCCTCACCTTGCCTACATCCTCAGCCCCGTGGCCTTGAAACCAATGGAGCTGTTGGAGCCGTACCGTTTGCCACGGCGGGCTGTGGGCATTAGCTGGTTCCTGGACCTGGCTCTGCAGGGTCTGGGTGCCCATGCGGATTCAGCCCTGGGTGGGCCTGGCCAGCCAGCACACCTGTGTTCCCCCTTGGCAGAGCAAGGAAGCAGCTGACATTTGCCTGGGAGACCAGAGGCTGTGACTTGCTGCAGGCTCTGCAGGCAGATGCTGATCAAAATCACACTCTGATCTCAGTGCCCCCAACACCCCCAGGGAGATTTTCCTCCCAAAGAGCTGGTCTTATCACTGCCCACAGCTGACTGCAGAGGGTGCTGCTGGCTGAGCCAGTGTCCCTCTTCAGCCACGCTTCTCCTGCCATCCCACTTCCAGCCTGGTGCTCTCAGGCTTCTTGCTTTGCACAGCCAGCTCAGCTCAGCACCTCCAGTCCTCCCCTGTCTTCCCCCTTTTAAAAGTCAGTTTGCTGAGAGCTTACAATAATCCCACTACACACGTCTCCTCAGCAAGCTCCTTACTGTAGGGACTCACTGGTTTCTCTGATTAGGTAGAGCGGAGGTGGAGGCAACGGTGGTTTGATCAGGAAAGACTCCCCAGCTCCAGCACTCCACCACAGGGAGTCCCGAGGGGTACCTCTTGCATCTTGAATGGGAGAGGACCGTTCACCTTGGCACAGACTGGCGAGGTCTGTGTTTTCAGCCAGAGCTGGAAGGAATGTGGAGCTGCGTCAGCACAACGCTCATCACGCAGAACAGGCAATGCTTGGAGCAGAGTGGGATAGTACTGGCTGCCCGCACCTTCCCCAGGGGAGCAGCTGAAGCCAGAGCCATAGGGCAGGTGCCATCCAGGATTGGATGAATTATCAAAGCAGCCCAGGGCGCCGGCACTGACATATAACCCATGTTTCCCCTCCCTGCAGCTCTGATCTTGGCATGTAGAAGGAAGCAGACAGGATCTGGGCAGAGATCTGGGCCCCTTCCTCACCTAAGAGGCTCCAAGGAGAGAAGGAGCTGATACATCCTGGGTTCAGCACACTGTACAGAGTGCTCACAGATGCCCTCGGGCAGCGTTAAAAGAGGCAGGTGACTCTTGCCTGTAGCCCCATGCAGGCAAGACCTAGTACAGACAGTGACGGGCAGGTGGGAGCAGTTTGGTTCAGCCTCATCACAGGGCAGTACTGCCTGCGTTTGGCTTAGCAGGCAGCTCCCTTGCCTGCCCACGTGCTCAAGCTTGGACCACAAATATAATATTAACAGTGTATGTTCACTGAGCGATAAATCACAGGAGCTTGCACTGACCTGGAACAAGCTTTGTAAACCCCCGAGATGAACGTGCAGTTGAAAAGAAATAGCAGCTCCCACGCGCCTCTCCTGAGACCAGCACTGCAGCTTCACTGGGCTTGTTTTATGTGCATGCTGCATCATTATTATCCTCCACAGCTGCAAGAGGCTGGTAGGAAACATAGCCCGAGAAGCAAAATGTTAGCTGCTGCTGGCAGTCTGCATGGGTTCCCAGCAGCAGCAGATACTGCTAATCCTTTGAGATGACTCCTGCACCAGAGTTGTCATCCTGCCTGAAGCCACGGAGAAGGCAAAAGGTTCAAAGTTTCTTGTTCTGCAGGTAGCACCACATGGCCTGTTCCCCAGCATCTCCCCCAGGCAGGGAACAGGGCTGGGTGTCCTGTCTTCTCCTGGAGAGAGACAGAGAGGCAGAGTCAGTGGGACCTTGCCCTGGAGCAGATGCTGGCCGTGCGGGAGCAGGCAGTGCTGGAGCTGTGCAGGCAGGTGAGCACCCCTCCTGAAGAAGAATACTGTGACAGGTAGGGCGGAAAGCCTGGAAAGCACCGGGATCCCTTGTGCAACCAGCCCTCTCGTGTACGGTGAGAAGGTGCAGGGTAGTCAGCAAACCCCAGGATACACATCTGTGGTCTTTGCTGACTGCGGGCTGGCGGGATCAGCTCCTCCCAGCCTGGCTCTGGAGCGCAGCGGGCAAAGCATGGAGCCACAGGGCCAGCGATACCTCCCTGCCTGCTCCTGCTGTCCCCATGGCCCTCCAGCGATCCTCCCCCGTCCTATGGCTATGAAATCACCGCTCCTCACAATTTGTTTTCTGTTTAAATTCCTCCTGGAGGCTGGACAGGTCTCCTCTCCATCTCAGCCAGTTTTGCTGTGCTGCCATGTCTGGACAAGCAGCTCCACCACTTCATCCCAGCGGTGCCCCTCGGTGTGACAAGTCTCATGTCCTGTGCGCAACCAAGGACCACTCTGGGCCCGTCTGCCTGGGGGCCACTGCAGAAACAGGAACTATTATCCCCAAAGTGGTGCTTGGGAAGCTCTGTCATGCTTTAGCTAACCTACATTCAACCCTAAATTAGCTGGCGAGGGAACCAGGGGATGCAGGTCATAGATGATCCTGCATGTAGCAAGAGTCATGATATGTATGTTCCTTCTCTCTCTGCCAGGAAATAAGCACTGAGAAAAGGGCCCGACGTTATTTTTAATAATATTCCCAGAGCCCTGCCTGAGCCTTTCTGAGAGGCTCTGGGGGCCAGGGGAAGGGCAGACTCCTTCCCACCTGCTCACAATACAGACGAGGAACACGTCATCCCACTGACGGCAAGTCATGGGAACGAGTGAACACGAGCCGGAGCTGCAGCTGGGCTGTGGTCAGGGATCAGTCGGCCCTGCAGATTCCCCCGGGCTTGGTGTGGTGTCAGAGCTCCACGTTCCCAACAGAGCATGATGCAAGGCTTGACGCAGCACAGCAACCAGCACAACTGGCTCCCGTGAAGGTCTCCTGAGGACCCAGCTCCTCACGCAGAGCTCTGTGCCAGGGTGGTGGCAGCCTGCGGGGTGCTCGCTTGCCTCCGGACACAGCCTGCTCCAGCTCACCTGCAGAGCTGAGGGCACTGCAGGGGTTCGTGGCTTCAGAGCTCCTGGTGTGCAGAGAAGCAGGAGAAGGTGCTTTCCATCGCATCAGCGAATCAGTTTCTGCCCACCCTGTAGCTGCACTTTGGCTGCAGCCAGAGCAAGGATGGTGGCAGGAGGGGACTGTCCCTACAGTGACATCAGGTTGGGGTACTGTAGCCTGCAGCAAGGCATCGTTGTGTGCTTCTGCTCTTTCGCCATCATTTCACAATCAGTTTTAACTGGCATAGTCCATCCCTCTCCCTGCTGTCCCTTCCCTTGTCCCACACATGGGTGGGTGGCAGCAGGAACAGGGAAATTATTTGGGCAAACCCAAGTTTGGGTGGGTCATGGCCTTCCAAGCTGCTCGGCCGAGCCTGCCCGCGCCCACGCACTGAGCTTTGCTTCCCTTGGCTACAGAGGAGAGGGATGCAGCATCTGGAGAGTTGTTCAGATGGTGGGTGAAAGCCCAGACGGGGCCAGGGAGGTCTCTGATGTTCAGCTGTTTAGTCACAAGGCCTTTGTGTCTGAACACAGCCGGACTCAAACAGTGGGGGACGGCGTGCCTGGGCTGTACCTGCACCCAGGGTCTCTCAGCTCTCCATTCCCTGCTCGGGCATGCCCTGCACTGCTCCCGTGCCCACATAGTTTGGATTCTCGGGCACCTCTGCCTCAGGGCAATGATGCAGTCTGCTGGGTTTGGATGCAGCAAATTGTTTCAGGATGGATCTGAGGTTTTTCTACATCCTAGATGAGGTGGGATTGACGCAGGTTCAGTGACGTTTCATCCAGCTCCCAAACTGACCTGGTTTCCTTCCTGGCAGAAGAGCTGCTGCTGGCCCAGAGCGGTGTGTGAAGCTGCAGGACGAGTCAGGCTGCTCTGGGCACTTGTCATCACCCCCATCTCCGCCTGCAAGATGGGGATGTCTCTAATTACCCAAATCCAGGAGGGAGCGGCAGTGGTCAACAGGTCTTCCCTACTTGAGAGGAGGTTTGGATGCCCCCTGCCGCTCCACCCTTTCCATCCTCTCTCCCTGTACGTCCCAAGGACCCTTCTGTCCCTTCGGGCAGGGCATGTGCCCAGGGGACTCTGGTGACAGTCACTAGGCAGTTGATCCCATCTCCAGGTCACGGCCGTAAGGAAGCCCAAGTCTGCATTTCTTGGAGAGCGGTGGCCCATTTCAAATGAAGCAATCAAGGTGCTCCTCAACTTTGGAAAGAAAAAGTCATTCTTTTCAAGACGGATTTAATTGCCAAAATGTCTGCAGGGCAAGTGGCAGCCTTTCATGGGAGTCAGGGTTCACCCCTGAAGTCCTTGTCAGGAAAAGCAGCAGCTCCCCACGTCTCAAGGGCTGCTTCTTCATGCTGTGATGACTGCCGTGAGGGAAACATCCACCTGATGGCACATTGTCTTTGTAATCTTATGGCCCCGCTGTGCTTAAATCCCGTGTCTCCTGATCACCCTGCAGCCAGGAAACCACGGATCTGCTGGATCTAGATCCAGCGTGATCACAAGATCACATTTACCAAATTAGAGCACAAGAGAGAGTTTCTGGACAGCTCTGTGCTTTCGCTGGAGGCTGAGGGACAGCCTGTCCCAGACTTGCAGTTAGAGCCACCCCTTCTACCCACAGCAGGCTGGGCATGCCCCAGTTTAGGGTTTGTGGTGGTGGCGGCTCCAGTGTTTTGACCCAAACCCAGACTCACCATCACACTGAATCCTGGTGTTGCCTTTGAATTGGTCCTTTGGATGGGTCGCTGAGGGCAGGAGGTGGCCCATGTGCAAGGCACTGCTCCCCCGGCCAGGTAATGAGCTGGATACGTCCAGCCCGACACCCCAAAGCCGTCGCAGGCCTGCTCCCGCCTTGCTCTCCGCAGCTCTGCCCTCCTCCTGCGTCTCTGCCAGACCCTCAATCCTGCTCTGCACAGGGAGGCAGCAGACCTGGGCAAGCCTGACCCCTCCATGGGTGTCCTCTCACCCATCCTCACCACTGCCAGGCCTTAACAGTCCAGCCCTGATAGTCCCACTGCATCTCTCATCACCCTAGTTTGCTTTTAGGGAAATAATTAATAACCGGTGATGTGCTGGACCAGTGGGCACAGTCCCCAGTGCTGGAGATTTATTCATGGGCTCAGACATGCTATGCACAGAACTAAAGGGGACAGCTCATGCAAGGA